ATAATTTTAGAGTAGCATCTGCCAAAATAAGACTATAACATCCAGTTTTTTTTTTTAAAAATTTAAAAATATCTTTAACTGTGCAAATAAACTTCTGCAAGCATCTTTTTTCAGTGAAAGGTAGTGTAAACATTCTCAGATGACACAAGAAAACTGATTTTAAGACTATAACTACTGAATACACAGTTAATCACATGTGAATATCACACATCTCTATGTAATAAAATGAAGGTATAGAATCATAGCCAGCTCTTCCCGGTGATACATGTTTTTTGAGAAATAACATACTACATAGTGACAGAAAAGAAGTAATGCTTGGAAAACAAAGCTGGCTGGGTTGTAACTGCAACTGCAAAAGTAGTGGCATTCCAGCAACACAGACTTAGACTCAGACAGATTAAAATCTGAATATCATGAGGGAGGCTAGAAGTTCAAGTATGTTGCCAGGCATGACTGGATGAGCGACCTCCTGCAAACACTGTGGTCTGTGAAGCAACTACTTGGACAAAAGATAGGCAGTAGCAGAACTTAACATTCTTACAGACACCCTAGAACCAGCTCATCAGAGCATTACAGAAATATAATAGTCCTTCACCTGGGCTGCAGTCACATCTTCATTTGGCTTTACAGATATGTGCAAGCCCTGCCTGAAAAGTCAGTTAAGGATTTTCCTGAATAAGACTGCATTCTGCAGGCAAGTAATTAAGGACTGTGCAATACCTGGTGATGACTATTACATGCCTGTGATCTTTTCAATATGGAAGAAATCCCAGGATAATTTTTCCATGTCATGCTCATACATGTTTCCAAAGAAAAACTAAATATTCTCTTATAAAAGTTGGGAGCATAGGGTTTTAGTATTATCAGTGTAATCACACAATACTTAATGGTTTGCAAGGCTGGGTCTCACTGTGAGGTTTTCAGAGCATTTTGTGAATTTACTATTCAGAGCAGATACATAAACCACCTCTCTTGTTATTCAACAGCTAAGTAACATTTAATACCATCGAAATTCACACAGTGGTTTTTAAATGAAAAATTATATATCTTTAGCATTAAAAAACATTAAGGCAGCTATTTCCCATCTTAAATTTTTATAGGACATAAAACTAATAACTGCTTTCTGCTCCAATGACTCTTCAAAATAACACTGAGCTTGTGACCCTCCTCCTACAAAAAACCAACAACCTACAATGTTAGTGCAAGAACATTCATATGCTAATAATTTAATCAGTCTATTATATCCTAGAAACCCCAGCTAATCTTTTGCAAAAGAGCAATGTTAATTATTTATGTTATTTTTTTTGCCTTGAACTGCAGACAAATTCAATTCTCAGATCCCTCAACCAGCTTAAAGATCTCCATTGGGCAGTGGCGTGATATAGGTACAGAAAAGAAACTTTCTACATGGCCATGATCCAGCCATGAAGCTGTTCCACAAGCCATCCCTAAAAATCTCCTTCCAAAAAACAGAAATAGAGAAAAGTACTTGCAGCAGCTTAATGCATCTAGCCGATCCCACCTCTCATTCAGCTTAACTCCCACATGCCCACTCACATGCTTAAAAGATAACATTTTGAGGGAATCTACCATTCAGACTTTCTGGCACAGAGCAGTTGAAACCAGTTCTTTTTTTATGCAGAGTCATCTCCTGTGAAATAGAAGTGATTACAGATGAATACAACAGGCTTATGCCAGGCTCTTTGGCTCTGAGCAACTGCTGAACAGCAAAAGGCATCAAGAATAATGAATATACCTTGAATGACAAGAAAGTGCAATACAGGATCCCACTACAGCTGAAACTGTGTGAAGTACAGCAAGAAAGTTTTAAATATCCTTCCTTACTGTAGCTACAAGGAACTGTTTCCAAAGAGTTACCAAAATGTAAAAACCAAAAAGAAGTTTCGTTATCTGACAATCTGGGTTCTGAAGTATTTGGTAATGGTGCTACTTTTAATTCAGATAAGGGAGTTTAGTTAGGAAATAATAGTAAAAAAGGTTGATAAATCCTGCATTTTAAAAAATTCAGATTTATCCATGGTGTAAGTGGTAGGACTAGGCTTTGCATAGCACAATAGATCCTTCAGAAGCATCTTTTGTACTTAAGTTTGGGGCATCCTCAGATCCAGCTCTACAGAGAAATATGATTCTATCATACATGGGGTCTGTTGGCTGAGAATCACTGGAAGGTAACTTCCCAGGGTTCTAGGGAATGATATTTCTACTTAGAACATGTATAGTCACACAAACATAATATCCCACTGCCTTGTGAACAGATCTATTCAGCAAAACAGTAATGCATTTTGTTTTGTTGGCATTTTCCTACTTAACTGAATCTGGATGTTTCATGAAAAATTTATAATTATGAAAATATTGCCCTGAAAAGAGTAATCCAATACAATTTATTTTAACAGGCACTTTTAAAAATCTAAGCCTATTTGAGCTCCTGCCAGCTTGCCCATCTTCTCAACAACTTGCTTGACAGGCTACCGGGAGCCTGAGTTCAAATAAGTCCTTTTAATTACATCAGAGCCAAGGTCCCCAGAGCCTGTTGGCTCCATGAGCCTGAAGAAGCCAGCCAAGAACCTCAGAGCTTGCAGCACCAAGAGCTGCCTGAGCTTTGGAGGTTTGGAACAGCCTGATCTATGGATTGTTTCCAAAGCTGAGATTAAAAAAAGTATTTCTCTTTGCAGAAAGTATCAACATTTGAGTTTCCCTCTGATTGAAAGAACAAACAAATTTTGAATGAACAAAATACTTCATTAAAGATTTATTACTTCTAGTTATAGGGAAAGGCAAAACACTGGATAATGAAAGTCTTTCATTAAACCGAACTAGGTTTTGCTACAGTGGTTAGCTACTTGTACTTACTGCACCTTTTTATTGCGGGAATTAAGTTTTACTGCTGGGAAGTGAGACCAAGGAAAGTTAAATGACCTACTTAAAACTACAGATAAAAATGTGCTAAAGTGCAACTTAAGTTGCAAGCTGAAAGTCAAACCTCTGGACCATCCTCCTTCCTCAGGCCATATTACAATAAAGTGAACACTCTCTTCAGCTCGCACAATTGTCACTTCATGACAAATGTCAAAATTCCTTCTCATGTTGCCTTTTTGCAAGCCAAATCAGGATTAAAAGAGGGTTCAGAAAATGTTCAGAGAACATGAAACCCTGAAATCTGTTTGAATATGCCCTCTGATGTCACCTGTGTGTACCAGTACACTACCCTTTGGCTAACTGTACTCACATCAGTCTACCAGCTTGACACGATGACTTTTTGTAAATCATACAAGAAAAGGCATACGTACTAGGCAATAACAGACCTACTGCAGAGTAAGAAAAGGCACAAATAGAGTAGATAATTTCCAGTCTGCATATGAATGCCTTCCAAACATGTTAACAGTTATATTCTTGATTGCTTTCTCTGTTGAGCCAAAACATCAATAGTATGAGCAAAATTTTACACATAAATTTCAGAATGACTTGGCTGTGCAGTTAAGACATCTCTCCAAGTTCAGAGCCTGGAAAATGCACAGCCCTGAAGAATCTAACTGATAAAACTTCACATGATTTTCAGCCTGCTCATTCAACATTTCCTTTAAATACTAACCGTTATGTAGGCTGTGGAAATGGAAGTTTGTGGGACAACTGTTTTCACAATCATCACTGTAAACAATTCAGATACCAGTGACAGGTATAGTGTCTTAGCAACCAAGTATGTCAGGTCTTTTGGAAACTGAAAAAGGACTTTTTATTTTCAGTAACAATGCACAGAGAACCAGAAGGAGCAGAAAGAGCTTTAACCAGCCCAAACACAGTAGATCTACAGTTGTATATAACAAGGATTGTGTATCTGAATTGGATCTTCAAAGGGATGAGCCATAAGGAAGACTGGGGTCACAACAGCATAGTATTTATGAATTGCAAGCTGCAACCTCAGTATCATCCAGAAACACAGAGTCAGAAGGAAAAAGGAAAACAGAAAAAGAAGGATTCCAACATACTTACATTCCTGTGGAATTTTAAGAGTAAGAAGAAACAAAAAATTTTGCAGCAATGCCAAAGAGCAGCTACCAGCAAATGTGGTAATAACAGAAGTTAAATCAAAATAATCTTTAATTAAAAACACAGCTTTTCTTGATGATGGAATTTTTGGAATTTGAGTTTGATTTTAGTGTTTTCAAGACTGGAATCAAGCTATATTAACACTGGTTAATGTCAATTTCAGCAGAAAGACATAGCTTATCATCTTCCACGGCTACAGCAGCTCTCTATGTAGCTCACAAGAGCCTGTTGGATCCTTTTGAGATCAGGATAAGGAAAGTAACTTCTCAAACTAACATTTTACACCATTAAGTTGTAGCCACCCTTTTTACAGTCATTCCCTGGACTTTGAAGTGGTATTAATAGTACCCAAGACAAAGCAGGTAGCAACATTGGAGTCTAAAAAATACTGGAGTTTATGAAACTGAATGAAACTATGTCAAATTAAGAAGAAATAGAGACTTGGATGAGATTAATCATAGAGACAAAGTAAAGGCACAAAGAGTACAGACAGATTTTATATTTATGGTGGCTCAGACTTCAAAGTTAAAGATGATGCTAAATTCATAAACTGACTGGATTGTAGCATTTCATATTCTGGAGAACAAGAAAAGTTTTTCCTGAAGTAACGTTCTTACTGAAGAAAAGCACACAATTAAGTCCTAGAGCCATTTCTTAGGAGAAGAGTAATTCCACATTCAGTGCCACCCTCTTGGTGAAGAGTTCAAAAATCCAATATCATAGAGTCCAGCTTCAAACACTGCAGTGACCTTCTGCATGACAAGGATGTTCTACTCTGACTAACAGCACCAGAGTTTGGAAAAAGAGCAACCAGCAACCTTTGAAGTTCATGAATCTTATTCCAAGCTGTTGGCACTGTAAAAGGGGACAAGCACTCATACTTGAAGAACAGCTACTCCTTTAAGAACAGAAAGCCTGTGGTTTGCCAGCCATTTTAAAAATAATAAAACATTAAAGTGAAAGTAAATCACAGATTTATTACATTCTCATGCAAGCAGATGATATTTATTCAGCTTAAAGACAGGTATTTAAAACAGGGTTCAGAACTGTTTCTTCTTTAGTTAGATCCACTATCTCTCTCTCCATTTCAGTTAGTTAAAAATATGTCAGGATATTGTCAAAACTTGCTAAAGACTGCCCCAGTACATCACAAAATTTTAATCACTGTAAAGAAAGCGCATTTCAAATCTCAGTATGTGGCAAACTATATATACATGCACACAAAAAACTGCAGTTCAGACAGTGAACTGATAACCACATTACATAAATACATAAAAACAGAGGTCAGAGCATACACTCTTATTAGCTCCTGATTAAGAGCACAATGCATGTCGTAACCAAAAATTCTTTATAGTGGGTTAAGAGATAAACCCTTTAGAACCCTAAACCATCACAGAGGGGTGTAAAAACAACCAGAAATGCCAAGGTTTCCAGCTTAATGATCTTAGTTTTTCTAAAGAGCCTATTGTTCACTTGACCTGACTTATGGTTCAAACAGAAAAAAAATCCTGTTTTTTTCATAAGCACTTCTATTTTACTGAGACAGAATATTGCTCATTCATGAATCAGGAAAGTTTTGCAGTGACAGTTTTATTGGCCCAGTTCATAAATGTGTCATGTCATTTGTAACCAGCGCAACAGCAATAATAATATTACAAGACATGGGGAATATACAATTTTTCTTTCTTCCTGATGGCTGATAAACAAAGTCTTTCATTCCATAAGGCTGGGAATCATTGTAAGGTTTGATCTCCAGCTGCTGTAAATCAGAAATTTCATATTTCAAGTTGATATATACAAGTGCTGATTTCCATAGCTTTAGAACACAGTTCTAAAGAGGCACAGATTTGGACATCCACTTATCTTTATATGAAAAAGAGGCTGACAGATAATTGATAGTAAGTTCAAATATTTGTTGTCACAATTTTCCTACCAAAGGAAGATCTACAAAATGCCCTTTTTATTACAGAACCAAAAAAAAAAAAAAATCATTAGTTTGATAGTTGCACAGTGTCTTCCAAAACCCACAAATATACCAAAAAGATTCATGCTAGGAAAAAATATATATTTAAAAAAAATCAAAGCTGAGGAATAATTTCACAGTGTAACTTTGTAACGAGCCCCTAAAGGAAATATCTGTTTCTTTTGTTCCCCTCTGCAAAGCTATGTAATTGATTCCTAACTGCTGTGTTAATGCTCCCTATTCCTGTTAGAATTCCTTTGGAAATACATGAAAGTAACCAGGACTTTTTCCTGATGCAGCTTCTTGAATGCTAGAATTGGGGATTCTCTTCCATACATAATGAGATAAATATTAATATGGAAAAATAAAGTATACCAAATTGTATACTGAAATGCAGAGCAAATCAGGAAATTGTTTACTTTTATAATGACATTTTCTTACAGGCATTGTTATGTTCCAACAGAAAAAAAAAAAATCAAAGTATATATGTTATCACATGGTTTATTAACTTTATAGACCAGCTTGCAAAATTTCAAATAACTTTATAGACCAGCTTGCAAAATTTTAAATAATGATAGACAAGTGTTTTCAAAGAAAGGATTTGGTCTTCATCAAGATCAAGAATTAGTCTGGTTCTCCATGACCTTTCTATGCCTTTTGCTGTACACACGTACAGAGTAATAAAAGAATGAAGTAGAACGGATTTGGCCCAGCTCCTGAATTATAACCCAGTGACTGTTACAGAGTTGTGCATGAAAGCCTGTCTGCCTAGACAGAGCCAGTGACATCAGGCAACCTCTCTTCAACAAACAAGGAGAGAAATACAGGAAAGATGTGATTCATTTTTTTACCTGTGGTACCTAATTAAACTTAATTAAGGTTGTGCTGAGGGATCTTGAGCAGCATGCACAAGGGATATCTGCTTCCTGATTGTTTTTTAGCTTTGAGAAAGCTTTCCTTTGAGAAAGGAAGGTTTCCTACCACAAAGAAAAATGTCCTTATGAAATGCATGTGCTCAATGTTCCAATCTAAATTTAATAGATAAAACATCAGCGCTAGTCAAATGTTTTTTAAATGACCTAAAAGCGCTAGAATTACAGTAAAGAAGATTCTCTAGTCTTCTAATTAAGATTTAAAAAACAAAAAAAAGCCTTACCAATCCACATTTTGAGTATATGTTCCCTTAAACAGCACTAAAGTTAATAATTATTTTTATCACTGATTTGAAACTGACTAACCTGATGACTCTAAAAATTAATCAAGCTTGGCAGCCACACAACTTACTGCAATCTTCTCTTCCACTACGGGTCATTATCTCAAGTTTCACAGCTACAGACACCATTGTTGTACTATGTACATCCTTGATTTCATTACATACTGGGTGGCAGTGTAGAAGGATTCTTAAGAAAGGAATAACTTAATACAAAATTGCAAAATTAGAAATAAAAATTATTTTAACACATCAGATTATAAATAGTGGAACCCTTAGGGAAGGGTGTGTCTCCTGATTCTTATTAGAATGACACTACTTGATAAAAGAGCCTTGTTTAAACAGATTATAACTTCAGTGCTGCCTGGTCTGAAATTTTTCACATTGCATATCTGACTTAGAATTTTCTTTCTTTGTGGAAAATTTCAGTTAATATAATTTAGCAATTTCTGAGATTGCAGCAGAGACAACAACAGTAATACACTGCATCAACAGATTAACACGAAATCTTGTTTTAAATTCTGTGGTTTGTGGCAGAAAATAAAATTTGGAAGTGAACTGGCTATGTCTGGGATTAAATGAGAAAAGGGAGACTGATGTTATTGGAGAGGATGATAACAAACAGAGATTTGAAAGCACAGTTCGCTCCCCACCAAAAGGGACGGTCGATCTATTCATGTACTTCATTTGATATGTGGAAATTCTAAATTAAAGAATTCATGATCAAGACAGTTGAAACTTTCCCTGAAGGTTTGGATTTTTTTTCCTTGTCCTTGTCATAGAATTCCTGCAGTATAATAAGAAATAAGGAATATTTTGTAAATCTTGCTTCTTAATCTCCATGAATTATGTTTCTTCAGTTTGGGGCAGTGCAGTGAGGAAACATAAATTGAGATTCAGACATGTAGAAGGTGTGGAGATTCAGTTACAGCTACAGCTGATGGTGTGGAAAACATGTTGTGGCTATACCTATTTCTATGTATTTTTCAAAGTCCTGAGGCAGACAGTCAACAGGAGAAAGTTCAGGCCAGCATCTGCAAACAGGGGAGCCCTTCAAATCTGTGGCTTTCTGGGCCTCAAGTCTTTCTCTGCCTCAGTTCTTTACTTGAAAATTTGGGAAGACAAGAGCAACTTTTTCACAGAGGGCATTGTGAAAATAAACCCATCATTTATCTCTGAAACATCCTGGCTAATGCAATGAAATACGCATTTTCTTTCCCAGAACGATTTGAATGATATGCCAAATACAAAGCCTAAAAGCAATAAAGAAAAAGTAATACTGATTGATGCTGCTCATGAACAAACAGTGTCTTTTTTGCATTACTGAATGCCTTAGGGTTCTGGGTAAAAGCAGCAGATATAATGACATATATACTTGTACACCAGGCAGGCAAATTTTGCTGCACACAAAAAATAACACTGGCATTTCTTAATTTGTTTGTATTTCCCTAGTGCAGTTATCTGTTGCACCCTAAAAGCTATTTAAGAGAGCACATATTAACTTGCAGATAGTAGTATTTGCTATATTATATTAAGCCACAGAGTTTATGTTTTGAATTCTTCCAACCTGAAGACAGACACTGACACTGTCCCTGTGTTCATGAAGAAACTACCCCCTTTGGACATTTGATAGCATACTTATCCATTATGCGATTTTATATTTTCTTCTGAATCATCTATTATTGACAATTGTTGGAGACAGGATATTTGACTAAATGGATCATTAGTCTGATCATTTCCCCAGGTTTCTATGTGAACTGAGGATGCCATGCCATCTGAACCTGACAAGCACAGAGACAGCTGAAACTGAGTGAGGGTTTAGAGCACTGCTGCGCCTCACAAACAATGAGACAATGCTCCATGTAAATAGAAATGTTAAAAGCAGTCTCCATTCTATACGGAATATGTAGAAAAGATCAATGTAAAATCTTGACATGGTACTTTTACTTTCCCATTTAATAACATCAATAAACATCTTCAATATTGATTTTCGCTTATTATTAAAATGACCTAATACAAATACAGACATTAATCCGGATAAATGCAGAGATCAGTATAACTGCACCCAAGAACATTTAGGCCAGAAAAACTATCAATTATTACCAAGACTGGGAAGCCTGACAAAACAGAACTCCACACAGACTTCTACTTGCAGGGCTTTAAAAGCAGGATGATTCCTGAGGTCCACTTAGTTATCATATCCTAGGAAAATCTTCCTTAGACCTTCTGGCTGTGCCTGCAACACTCAAAATCTATTTTTAATTTGAAGCATCAGTACAATCTCTGTTAAAATTGTGCCTGGGACAAAGAAATGACCTTTCATTCTGAATCAGGACAGTAAAATACTTTTTTGAAATACTTGCAGATGAGTTGTTCTCAGTTTTGTGAAGGTTGCACAGTTGCCTCCAAAACACTTTTGTCTAATGTATGTTTCTTGCTAAATTTCAGAAATTACCTCAGCAATGCCAAAAAAGGTTTGTCCAGGTTTAATCAGGCTCTGTCAGTAAAATTACATCTTCTGAAGGTGGGACTGTTTTCCTATGTGATAGAGAATCAAGCTAAACTATGCTATATACTCAAATACCAGTAACAACCTCAAAAAGCAGACTCAGAAATAAAATCTCAATAGCTTTATTTATGAGAATAAACAGTACCTTTTTCCTGTCATATAAGGCATGGTTATCTAATATCATCTTCTTTTCATGAGTAGCATACCTCCGCAAATCACGTCCAAATTGCTGTAAAAATATTGCAGATATCAAAAATTCTGACAAATCAAAATTGTTACTGTTTTTGAGTTCCAACACCAAATCAAATAATAAACTAATACCTACAAATTAAACAACTATAGTGTGAAAAAGTGGATCATCTGAAAGAATAATGCCTTGAAAGGCAATGGTCCATCATTTCAGTTGATTAGTCAGGGAATAGTTGGGCACTGCATGAGAAAGTAAGCCAGTGATGGGCTCTTACAGTGTGAACAACCCACAACAGATTTGAGAGAAGAACTTTCAAGTAGCCAAACACTTTCAGGATAAGAAGGACCAAAGAGTCTGCAGAACTTAATCTAAGGTCCAAATAAATACATTTTATTAACTCAAAAAAGACAATTGACTGAAGTAACTGATCAGCTCAGCAGGATAATACATCAGTTGCAACATTTCTCCTGGTCTAAAACATCCTGTTTCCAATTAACCTGAGTAGAACAGAGTGGCAATGCATCTGTACTACTTCTAGCACAGCAAAAAGATCATTCAGAGCAGGTTAAGGAGCTCTCCTACCATATAGTCACTCCCTAAGAAAATGAGCATCAGAAGACAAGCATGTAGAACAGATTAAAAACTAATTCTGCCCAGGGAGAGATTAATCATTTGAATTCAGCGTTTGCATTTAGATAGAAATTTTTTTAAACAAATACTGTACTATTTTATATTATACCCATTGATTATGTGTCTATCGTGAAAATATCAAGTTTTCTTAACTTCTTCAAATATCAATTAAAACATAGTTTACTCTATAACAAAAATAATGCATAGATTTTAAAATGTGCCATTTTTTTTCAGGTTAAAAACAATTAATATACTAGTGAAACAAAGCATTTTATCTAATCCCAAAAGAAAGAGGTCAAATGGTTTTCAATTCCCTACTAAACAAATTAGGTTCCAATTCCGAACATGTCTTCCTCAAATATTTAATTTCCTGTAAAAATCTGTGACACTCTCCAAATAATTTCTCCACTCAGTAACCATTTAAATTGCCTGTTAGCACTAGCATGATGTAAAAAGACAACGCAAGTGACTGAAAATCAAGCTCTTCAGCTCATGAACAGAAACACTAAGATGTGAGGAAAATAGATGTTAACTCCTCTAGAAACATATCCATAGATGTCAGTGAGGACTTCATCAGTTCCAATCTATGATCACAGGCTGATGACAGCATGAAATGTGACATGTAGAGAGAAGGAACATTTTTTTAAAAACTCCATGAACTCTGCATGGTCCTGCAATAACAAAACTAGGTTAGGAATGCTAAGGAAACATGGACTGCTGTGGTTACTTACCCTGGAGCCTGTCCAGCCTAACAGAGCATATGCATATTGCTCAAAAGGGGCTATGATCAGATCCACACGGATTGCCTTCCAGTCTTTGACTTCTGCCATATCGATATTTTTTGATGTGTTGTAACTGCTGTTGTCTACTCTTGGCTGACACAATTTTAAAATGGCAAAACACTTCTGAAAATTATCCATAGCATCAACTTTTCTGCTTGGTATCTGTTCCTTTAGAAATGTTGATTCGATGATATCACAATATAGGAGTAAGCCCTAAAGAGAAAATATTGCTCACATTGAATTGCTGGACTGGTTTTACTGTAATTCCAGAGTTTCTAGTCAGTTATCTTAAAAATTCATGCAAAATGCAGCTTCAGTAAACACAAAACGGGCTAAATCTGGGCTAAGCAGAAACTTGAAACAGCTGCAGCTTTTGGAAAAATATTAGCAGATCCTTTGAGGGAGATCCACAGTGGTGGTCATTGGGTAATGGCAAAGTACTAAGGAGGCAATATTTGCAATTTTCCCTCTCAGTTGTTTCCTTCTAAGCCTTTTGAAGTTACGTCAACAGAAATTTCTGAGTAAGGATTGATGCTTTCCCACTTGGCAGACGTATAGATAAAAACAGATTTGTCCAGAGCATAGTCTTGCTGACAGATTCCAAACAGAGCATTTGGACCGTGTCTGTTGTGTGAGATTTCCTTTTGACAAAGTCTGGAGTCTCCAGAGATGGAAGAGCTCTGCCCATGCCTTTTGTCTGAAGGAAGTGCACCAAAAAATGGTGATCCTCGAAAGTCAGATTTTATTAAAACATAATTTTTTTTATAATAAAGAACAATCAGAGTAAGAGAAATGGAAGTAATAAGAGCATTGTAAATTAATTCCTTCTAATCCAGTACTATAGGAAATGTTGAATGGAAAGAGGTAGTGCTTTCTTTCATCCTCGCTCTTTAGCCAGCCACCTTTTCAATGCCTATCCCTTCTAGGCCCTTAGGAAAAGCATCTTTCTGTGATTCCGCTGGCCTGTCTCTGTGCCTGTTCCTTGCATTCCTAGGCAGCTTCCAAGGCTACTGATTTCCTGGACATCTCAGACTTACCCTGTACTTCCAAAGCTTCTTAGAGCCTGTTCAGCTGCCCTCAGGTAAAGTGCAGTCTCCTTCACCAGCCAGAAAACCTCTCATAGAATCATAGAATTGTTCAGGCTGGAAAAGACCTTTAAGATCATTGAGTCCAACCAGTTCTATGCATGGAGATCCAAAGCACAACACCTTGGACAAGACAAGTAGCAGCCTCCCTCTCGCTGCTGCTCAGCACATACTTTTTAAGAATACAAATTATCAAATACACAATAACGAAGAAATAAAGCAGATATTGTCCATCGCACTGCTTCCTTCAGTCATCCTTGAGTCTTCAGAATAGAAATGGAGCTTGATATGTAATAATACAACAATGTTCACTGTCACTGAAACCATCTCTAGCAGGAAGGCTCAGCTGGCAAAAAGATTCCGCTTTCTGAAAGTGGTTACACATGACAAAAACACTTAAATGCATGCCTCAGCCTTAATTTAGCTTTTATAGATCCATAAAAATACAGTAAACCACTGTGACCACCTCCTCTAAGGTCCCACTTTCACAGAAAGTAAAGACTTTTGAGATTTGTTTTTGCAAAAGAAATTTCAAAAGAAATTTAACTTTGTTATAAAGGTTAGCAACAGTAGTGCATAAACCACTTTCTTCAGTCTATCAAGTGTTTAATAGAAGGAAAACTACTAAGCTGAACTTAGTAAGTGGTGTTCTGACTCTACAAATTTATTAGTTTCCGTCAAGATCAACAAGCCTGCAACTATCATGTCTTTTCATATCTCCTTTTACATTTCTTTAAAACCTACACATTGATCAAACCCACTTCTGTTCCTCACTGATGAGATGTATAGACTCTTTTTCCTCAAATTTTCATCATCAGGGTTTCTCTAGGTTCTTGAATCAGTTATTTGTCTGTACTTTGAAGACCCTCAAATGTTTATACATTCTCCTTCCTCTGTAATAGGGATTCTAACCGTAAAGAAGCATGGTCAAGAATGCCTCCTGACTTTACTTACTATATCCATTAATATATAGTAAAGAATCATACTAGGTTCATGTCGGGTTTTGTTTTTTGGGTTGTTTTGGGGTGTTTTTTTTTTGGGGGGGGGAAGTGTTGCTTTTGGTTTGGGTTTTTTTCTAGTATTGAACTGAGAGTGTACAGAAGTGGTTTTATTTCATGGCTGTTGACAGGTCTTGCTTATTTCTTTTATATAGTGCAATTGTGGTAATTTTACCTGATAATATGTTAAATACCTTGGAGAATATAGCAATAAAATTATTTTTGTCACTCAGAGGTTTAATTCTGAACAAGAAAAACATAACAAAACCCCTTTAAAAGATATGATCTTCATGAAAAGATGCTGATAGATATATAATTTTCAGCCTCCCGGTTTTTGTTGATGATTTGTTCCAAATTAACAATCCCATTATTTTACTGCAAATCAGTCACAGGCTGTTTTATGGGTCACTGTCCAACCTTTTTAATGATAACTATTTGATTTGCATTGACATTCCTTCACTTCCTTGGAATTTTTATAAATTTATAAATCCTCTTTTAAATAACAGGAAATTACTTACATAGCCCATTCCCTTGGATTACTAGTTTCTAAGTCTGATTATTTGAAAATGCTTAATTTTAGCAGGCACCCTTTCACATCCATCTTTAAAAGAGATAGGAAATTGTTCTTAATTGTACTCCAATGTCAGAAGGCACTGATGCTTGCTATATCCAAATATAGACTCAAAACAGCTGTTGAATGTTAAAGCATAACTGCTTATTATCTCACTCTTTCTGATGAAACTATGCCTGCCTTCAGGTTAATTTTATCACTTTTAATGCTAAAAATACTTTTATTTTCACTGATCATTAAACATTAATCGATGACTTCAAGCTTTGATTAAGCACTGGCATTCTTCCCATTCTCTATAAAAATCATCTAGCTACTTCATCAGTGCTTTCTCATCTTTTGCTTTGCTTATCTTTCTGCTCTTTGAGATCTGGGGCATTGCATAGCATATCCCAGAACAAATCTAAATTATGTCTTTCATTAGGCAAAATCTTAACCTGATTAAGCTTTAAATCTTATTTTATACTTCCAAGTATCTACATATTCAATATCTGTATGATGTTTGTAGACAGTGTGCTAAGATCACCAGTTCTGCACTTTGCCACAGTTTGTATCAGTGTTTTTGTCTTTATTCAAATGAAGTTGAAATAGCCTCATTTTGGTGCAAGAAATCAGGAATTAAAGCCCGTCTTTAGCTGGACTACAAAAGGAATAGAATTTCTACTGTAAGTGCAAAGACCAAGTAGAAGTTTTGTTTCTGATCATTTGAGAAACAGCAAGATACCAGAGCCTGCAGTGATTTCTCTCTTCATGGGCAGGAAGAAAGCACCTAGTGAGTGTTTTTTTCTCAGTGAGATCTGGGGACAGTCACACAGGGCCACCAGTAGGCCACACACCTGGATTTTTAGCCTGTAAGCTCTGGAGGACATATTATTCATTACCTGTATGTCTGTAATAGATAAAATGTCCTTGACATAAAATGTTTAGGCCTTTTAAGATGTTCATTTTTAATGTTTCGTCATACATTGTATCCTCTCTTTCACCAATATGTTCATTCTGACACTTAGCTGTGTTATCATCTTATAGATAATGTCTTCTGCATTAGCTTTACTTAGTTTTCACAGTAATTTTTTCCAGCTTGCTACTTGTATATATACAGGAATACAAACTTATAAATTAAAATGGGGGACATTCGACATATCAGTCATTGAATGGCCTTTATCTGAAGTCATCCTAGTTACCACACGTACTAAAGGTCCTCCCTTTGATATCTCTCAGCTGCCCGAAGAGTAAAATTCTGCCTGTTAAATCACAGCATTTAAAATTGTGTCCTTTTCTTTTTTTTTCTTCCTCATCCTATTTTCATATTTAGGAACTTCAGGGGAATACTCCTTGGAGTTAACACCAAGCAATCATGAAGCAGTTGTAACAAATCAGTATTGGAGCCTTCCTACTGCTGTTTTCCCTTGTTGACTAGGCTGTGTCTTCTACTTGAATACATATTAAGCATACGCAGATGGTCACAGTTAGCATGTGTGGCTGGAAAGATATTTTAGGACTGCTTGTCTCTGGGTTATTCTGTAGTGTTTTATCCTCATTTGCTGGGGAATTTCTAAAGAGAAAAGGAAGACTATAAGAGGATGTAGACCGCTGTAAATATCTACTTCAACTTAAAAAAAAATGCAGTTCGGCAACAATTACGCAAGTGCTGAGTTCAACAAGCTGTTGAAACCTGATTCAAAGTCAGGATATCACCTTTAAATAGGAGCCAAATCCTAGATCATGTCCATTGGGATGTTTCTAATTAATCTAATTTGATTAGGCACTGGACATCACCATTACCGTGTAAAACAAAGCTGAAGTGGCACTTCTACATGTTTTGAAATAGTATTGCCTGGAGGAGCAGTCAGCTATACAGATTGTGTGAAACTCTGGCTACTGCTAGCTGCAAAACAGCACCCTTCTCATTACTCTGTGTCAGGGAATCTGCAGCTCTTTGCAAATTTCAGTTTGATCTATACACCATAAAGTGCTGTAGACATTGTTTACACAATCAAGTTTTAAAATGTAGGTATTTTCATTTCTCAAATTTACAACACCATCAAAACCAGATGTATGGGTTTAGGGCAGTTATGTTAATACCCACAACCATTTTTCCTTTTTTTATAGTATTATGGGCTTTTAGTTAAATAGACTGCTGACACATCAATACCATTGATATTGGAGTAAATCCATGATCAAACTGAAGTGTGATTTTTTTGAAAAATATAAAATTAATACCTGAAAAATAAATCCAAATACGGTTATTAGCATTGTCTCTTTTAATTAAATGAAATCCTATTTTTAATGTTGCAAGCTGTCATTATTGAAAACTATTGGTAGCTGTGTTAATTATTTTAAAGCTAAATAGGAACATTTTATACCACCTGAAAATCTAATCCAGTATGTTCTTCTGAAATGGATATATGTTGCTGCTCTTCATTTCCTTCTGGATTTTTTTTTAAATTAAATTCCTATAGCTAATCCAAAATAGGACGTAGGCATGTTAGTTCGGAAACATCTCTACCTAGGTGATACATACTGAATTCTATAAAGTGGAACAGCTCAAGGAACAGACACCTGGGAGCAGTCAGGCTGGAGGAATGGAGGGATTCCTCTTCCTGATCAGACAGGGAGAGAGATCATTAGCAAATGGCATCAAAGGATTGATCAGCAATACAAAACTTTGCAGCTGTTGCAGAATCATGCAGCTGCCTTAAGCCCTTTTGCGTTTTCAAGTTCCCTGTATGTCAGAATGGTCTAATTCTGGGCATGTCCTGAACCACCTGATTTTGACAGCAATGGACAGACCAGCACCGGAGTCCAGGAATGATGTTTCCCTCTCTGTGGCATGAGCATTTGCACCAGTGAACAAGACAAATAGAAATACATACATGCATACTTTCCTACATACAGATGTACAATGCAGACCAGAAAGATCAAATGCTATAAGAAATGCCACTGCTGCCTGGATCTTCAGTTAAAACAAAGCAGGAAATGGAATACTTCTGCCTACTTTATGCAATAACCTCACAAGCAGGACAATCAGATTCAACCCATCTTTTGCCTAAAGCAATTTAAGCCAAGTTCTTTCATGTCCAGTGCTCTAACCACCATGCAATAGTCTATTTTAGGTAAGAGTGTCCTCAGCCCCTGCTGAAGATGAGCCAGAATGAAAAAAAAAATCTAAAAAAAAAAAATGAATAACACATTGAGTCAAAAGGTGAGACGTGAGACAATCAATACATGTTCATAAAGGAGCTCTCCACCCTTATGGGCAGAGCATTCATCTGAAAAAAAATAAGCTCTTTGCTCCAGCCTCTTAACAATTTCTGTATCTTGTCTTGTAAATAGGTTTTGTTGCTGCTAATATCCAGCTGTCACTCAATAAGGAAAGTGTTGCTATTCTGTGAACCCTGTTTCCAAAAAAATGTTTCCTGCAATGGGAAGTGAGACCAGTTACTTGTTCCTCACCATCCACCTTAACAGGACATCAAAACTTCCCCTTCCTGAGCTGTTCACCTCAGTAAGGGTGAATAATAGAGTCTAAACCATACCACTAATACACTGCAATAAGTGTACACAGGCAGGCATCTACATTCTTCATTTTCCTAAAAGCCATAAGAAAAATGAAACATTATAATTACATGAATACAAAAGGAACAAATGAAAAGTGCAGAAATGCCATTAGTAATGGTATCTCTTCCTTTGTTAAAAGTAACAACAGGAACAGAGCTAAATATAGCTATATAGGTTTTTAAACAAAAAAATTAAAATGTCTTTATACAGTATGTGAATGATGCTGCATCGACACAGATGGCTCAGCCTGTTTGCCCTCAGACTTCCAAGCTCTAACCCACAGAAGTCATTTCTTAGTTTCTCTAAGAAGGTTTTTGGAATGATTAAAACCATAACCTGTGTACTACATTGCAGCTTTTCCATTTTGATGCTCTACTTTGAGAAGCTTAATGGTGACTTTGTATTATCTGTTCCTTGGCCGATTTTATTGCTGGTGATGCTGTATCAAAGAACACGATGGTGTTGATTTAATCTTAGTTTTCAGCAGCTTTCAATGGAAGGATCTTGTTACATTAAACTTTTCAACTAGGAGAAAGGCCTTTTCACACTATTTAAATAAGACTGAGGTCTGTAGTTTAGAAGCTAAACAACGCAGAATCCTTCACTAAGAGCTGCTGAAAGGAAGTCAACATTGTGACCTCAGTGATGTTCTTTGATGAATCTGGGCTTTGAAGCAGTAGCACAAAAGGGGAAAGCTGTGGAAAAGACTACAGGTGTACTGTCAAAAAGTATTAAAGTGCTTTAGATTTGAGGGGTTTTGTCTGTCTTCCCCTCCCCCTTAGAAATCAAAGGTAATAAAAAAGAAAGTGGAGTGTAATTCATGTCTTTCTTTTTTGCATTTTGATTTTGCTGGCAGCTTACTTTTTAGTAGTACCAGTAAAAGCCTGTATATTACAACTGCCACAGCAGAGAAGCAGTATAGCTAGCAGTATATAAGCCATAAAAATTCTGGAGGACAAACAGAACACAGGAAATATGTGTCCATACCTTTAAACAATTCCCAGCTTGTTTGGGTTTGGTTTCTATGGCCATTGTGCACATCCCCTTCTGACATTTTTGTCATGCTGGGATTTCTAAATGAATCCTAACCTTTTCATCAAACCCTTGGCCACCCTTTATTTCCCATACTCTCCCTGAACTCGTTTCTGCTAAATTTTATCTTTAAAAAATCATCAAGAATGATTTATTTTCTACTTATTTTCTTTCAGTTCCATTTAATGAAAGCAGCTCTGAGTGATCTGAAAAGCTTCAGCAGTTGCCTGATCATAGCCACCATTCTCATTCATGTGACTGGAGTATGATGAAATGGGAGAAGGAATAAAAGGCCGCACTCAGGACAGGCTCTATTCTCAGCCTGTTGTCACTTTTCCTTTCTGCTGTGTATAAGAAACACGATTTTTGGAGCACCCACACATGGGTTTCTAGACATTCAAGTCTGCTTAAGAAGGTAAAAGAACAGCTTCCAAGAAAAAAATGCAACTTTTCTCAGAATAAAGGGAGTAGAATGACTGAGAAAGAAGCTTTACATAAATAATAAAAGATAAAAATAGAGTAGCTCCTCAGCACTCATTAACTGTCACAGCTTCATTGCATTTCATTGGAGCATGATAAAATATACCTGCTAGCAATCTACTTCAATACATACACTTGCTGTAGAGAATTAGGATGGAAGTCACAGAAATCTAAAAAATTAATAATAATCTGTTAACATTTCAAAGACAAAAAGCCAACTGAAGAAAGAGAAATTCAGTCAATGTATTTTACCAGGATAAAAGAAGTTTGAAGCCCTTCCATTAAAGCCAGTTGAAAGATTTTGATCACCTTGAAACAGGTCACTTTCTATAGTCAGCTAAGCTTTTGTCTGGTTGGATGTCTTCCCTGTGTTAACCCATTGCACATTAAGTAAAGTGCAGATTTCAAGAATCAATTCAAAAGCAGTATTTCCAGGCTATCTGCACTAAAAGCTGACTTAGCAGTGGAGTGTTTGGTAATTTACCTCAAAAGTGTTGGCCTCCTACTTGTTGAAATGTACTCAATTCCTTTGAACAATACAGGTAGTAAATGTTGAAAAATATCTTAGCTGGCTAGAAAGGTAGAAGAAGAAACAAAAGCTAATTCTTCCCAAGATGCTATATTTCTGACCAGCAATATTTTGCGGTACAGGCATCTGTTATAATTCAGACTCCTCCAACTTTAGAGCTGCTTGAAACTGAAGAAAGCTGAATAGAAAAAAATACCAAGCCCTCTTAGATGAATAATTCCTCTGTGAAAAGTGTGCATTCTTCCAAACTCAGACATCATGGAAGACTATGTCAGTTTTCACAATATTCCAAAGGAAGCCAGGAAAAATGCTGGTCTGTGGGCTGAAAGGAAGCTAGAATTCCAGGGATTTGGTACCTAAGCTTTCAGACTTGCTCACCTCACATCATGACATCACCTAAATCCACTACACTTAAACCTGGAGCTCCCTGAAGTAGTTCCTACCAGTTCCTACATTGAGATGGGAGAACCTACTCAATGAGAAATTAAATAAATACATTTTTATTTAAAGTATAAGAACAGTTTTCTGTGACACTCAAAACTCCACCTAGCTTGATTTCTTACCTCTGGCTAGCTGCATAGTCCTAGAGTAAGATACAACAGAATGTGTGCGAAGTACTACTCATATAAACTTCAACTTTAGCATTCAGAGCTGGAGGATGCACCTAGATCATCGTGATCAATAATCAAATAGAGCACTATCCAATTTCAAAATATTGCAGTCATCTGTAAAAAGGAGTCAACATTCTTTAAGCACTGCGTAAGCTTAAATTGATGGTGTTAGAATATTTTCTCTTTGGCCAAATGTTATTTAGTTCATACCTGCTTTTTCCATAAGCCAACAACTTTATGCAGAAGTTCATCGTCTTCTCTTGGTCCTGGATTGGTGATCAAAAAATCTATATCATGTCCAGTCTTCTTACCCCTAGAAGCAATAAACAATAAGACTAAAAAAAGTTAAGTTCCCATTGAATTTCACACTACTTTCAAAAAGAACAGTTTTGCTGCATTATAAAGAGTTTGCAGCACAAAGTGATAGCAATGTTTTTTGAAACATAATCAGGGTGGAATCTTCTATGTCTTTTGTCAGGACTGTCAGTGTTCCTCATTAAGCAATAATTTAAGCTTTTTAATGTATTTCCTCTGTTGTTCAACTAGATTGTGCAGGTCCATTTACTGATGTTAAATCTCTCTCTTTCATCCCTGTAAGTCCCAGAAAAGGTTTCAGTCATCTTTGACAAAAAAACAACAAAAAAACAACCACAAAAATACTGTAGTACATATTATGAAACCAGTGCAGTAACAGCAAATAAAGTTGCCAGTCTTGACTACTGCAGCCTTAAATGTTCTTCTTCAGCTTGTCATGGACCCTTTAATGAACAAACCTGTGAATATTAGTAACTTTACTTTTTCTTTTAATGGCAGTTATAAAATCTTTGAATATTTTACATTTCCTCTCTTTTACAATATAACAATGCTTTTTGCAGAAATTGAGCTGATTTTTTATTATTTCTTTTTGAGAACAGCTCACCTTAATGTGACTAAAGCTAGTTCATTACAACCACTAAGGATTTCACAATTAAATCCATATGAACAAAGTTAATTGTAAATGCTCTTAATGGAAAATGATGTCATAACCTTTTGGTTTTTTTCTTCATATAAGTCTAAGCGGTCAGCTTGCCTTACATCTGCTTATAAAATGTGTTAGAACTAAGTCAGAGTAAGATGTAGCTTTGTAAGTAAGATGTATCATTGCAAAACTGTGCTAGCAGAATGTTTCCCTTCAGAATTATGAAATGAGCATATCTGAAAATCTATCTCGGAGTGCAGTTCATCTCAGGATTGCAGAACCAATACTAGGTTTTTAATTTGGTCTAAATATTGCAACAGGGACTGCATACACATCTATTTATTGGCTGCAATCAGGACAGCCTAAGGAGAAAGGGGCAGAGGAGATATTCCTGCAACTAGGTGCAGTATATAGGAGGTGGGGTAAACACCTGAAATCTGGAGTGGTGGCACTTAAATGATACATATCTCCAAATAGTTTCCATGTGTTCATGGAAAAAGTCTGCTCTTGCTGATGTTCACAAGGGAACTAGATGTTATAGTGCAGGTGTGTTTCAGTTCAACACCATATCCAGTATTCAGAGAACTTGTGAATTGTTATAGAAGCAGTGAAAATGGAAACTGTACAAAAGAAGATTTGCTTTTTATTATTTTATTAAATAATTCATTCACCTAAAATAGTGCCTGAAACTGAATCTGATTTCTTAAATTTGGAAATATGTAGGAACAGAACTGATTGGCAGACATGTCAACTGCCATTTGCATGACAGGAAATTATCCAATTGATAGAGAGCTGAACAGCTTTAGCAGCAAGATGTAAGGAAATTCAAATCTAGGTTTTACATTTGACAAGCAGAATACTCACTGTAATGCAACTATTGTGCCATGTCTGCAGCAAAGTCAAAACTGCTTAAACAGGTGGAAATGATTTCAAAAGAAGTTTCAAATGAAGTACCAGTCTAGGCTCAGAAACCAAACAGCAATTCAAACTCAAGAAGTTAAAAAACATTTAGTATTCCATGTAACAGTTCCCAAGTTATTTTGTAAGATGACATTCATTATCTCTTAAATTACCATAATAATCCAAAACTCTTACGTAGCATTTTTTACTTGCATGTCTCAAAACGTTTTTTCAAAGGGAAGAAATATACTGTTTCCAGCTTAGACATGCAGAAAGTGGCATTAGAAAACTTGTCTGAACTCACAAAAAAAAAAAAGAAAAAGAAAGAAAAAAATCAAAGGAAGAAATAAGAAACTGATGGAGTTGGGAGCCGCTTCCTAGTTCATCCTCTGATACTCAACACATACATATTTTAGGTTAACCACATCTAAAAAATCCTCCTTCGCTCCAGCCGTAAAATCCCAAGAAATTCCAGGTGTTTCACTAACCATCTATTTCTCAAGACAGAGAGCATTTATTGAAGTGCTTTTTATTTGTGAAGTTAGTGTGTTTAAATCTGATATAATGACACAGAATATAGTATCACTGTTAGCATCAGTTATATTTCAGCTTCTCTTTGAATTAATTCACAATGGATTCATTTCTGACTGAATTTGTCAGGCTATTAATGGAACATTTAGTCTAATTTCCACTAGCACTCTTTACCAAATAATGTATTTCATCCTAGAAAAATGTATTACCTTCCTTAAAATAGAAAAACAATCTAGTAAATTAAAAAGCTGTATAATACATATTGCTCAAGGCTTGTAAATAATGCAAAAAGGTGCAGTAAAATGCACATAGATTCAGATCATTGTTATATTGAAGCTGAAGAGAATGTGGCCATTGGTTTCAGCAGGGTAATGCTATTCACATGTATATATTTATATATTTGTGTGTGCACACATATAAACTTAGAACCATGGATATTCATGAAAGTACATAAAGGGCACATAGGATGGGATAGTGTCAAGGTGCTCTTTTCCCAGCTCAGGAAGTATGTAAACATGTATTTTGTTTGTCAACAAATAACTCTATATGTACATCAACAGTTAATTGAAGCTGAAGCTAACCGTATACCTAAAGATTAGCTATGATACAGGACTTTATCATATAAAAGTTAAACACCGTGGTGCCAGCCATCTGTTCTTCAAACTGAAGTTTTGTCCTAATAATGTATTCAAGTCTGAAGACTGCAAAAGACAGAGCCCTGCTAATTAACTGTGTTCATTTCTTGGCTGATTAAACTTGTATAATGTTGGTGTTTCTTAGAAGTTAGTTAATTACCTTTAAGGTTGTTGGCATTTTCTTTTTTTTATTGCTGTTATTAATACAAAATCTAGATTCCAAGTCATCAAACAAAACTATCATTATAACTAAAACTTAAATATATGACTGAATGGCAAAGGCTAATCATATTGTCTAAATCTACAAGGACAGCTGCATGATTAAATATTTTATAGTAGTCTGTGTACAGAATATTTTGAAATCCCAGGATATTATATAATGGCTACTCAAATCCTATCTATTCTTTATTCATACAAAATTTTCATTTGCATAGTGTTGCATTATAAGTGTTGAAAGAGATCGCATGGGTGCTAAATCCTTCAGTGTTTATACACAAATACGAACTTTACACATGAAAACACCACCACTGATATCGGAGGCATTAATCACTTGCATGATGTCAAACAAATATATTTAAGAACCTGGAAGACTAACAGCTAACAGGTGCTCATTTCCAACATCTGATCAACTATATTAAATAATAAAGAAGCACAAATTTATGTGGGGTTCCTGGAATTAAACAACTTAATTGCATAGAATTAATTACATAATAAATCTTCAAATCATAAAATCATGTGACTGCTCAAAATAGAACTTATGAAGTGAGGACAAATAATGGAAAACAGAAACAGATTTGACATAGATGTGTCAGGCTTCTTTCTATTTAACTGAACATTATATCCATGTTAAAATTGCAGGAAAATACTGATTGTGGAAGAAGGCATATGAACTCTTAAACACTGGGTATTGGCTAATATTTTGAGTCAGCCAGTTTGATGAAACTGGACTGTATTTACTAAAATAGTGTATGATAATACAAATATTCAGATGTTAATGGCTGTTTTACCCATAGAATTTGCAGCCTTTATATGGAGTAAGTAAAACCTCATAGCTGTGAAATAGGTTCCTGAGAATGACTGCTATCAGGAAAGGCAGCAAAAAAAAATCAAGCCATCAGGAATTGCTATGCAACCAATATTCACCATAAAACTGGTGATTTTTTAAACTCTCACTTTCCTGACCTTTTTATTGTATAACTGCACTTTGGCACAGAAAGCTAGGAAAAACAGTAGAAGTAAACTCAGACTGGAACTCTGGCCTTAGATAGAATGTTGGAGAGTATGCACAAAATATCAGAGGGTATAACTTTCTCCTCCTTCCAAAGAGCTCAGATGAAAAGTGAGCCATCTGAAATTCATTTGTATAGCAAGCTAGATGCTAGCTAAGCATCTGAAAGACAATACAAAAAATAACAAGTCCTTTATTTGTGGAAGGAAATATGGGAGTTCATTACATGTTAAATTAAGCATCATCATCTCTGCATTCTTCTTTTGGGACACACAGGGAGAACAGCTTCTAGACAGACATCCCCAAGAGATTTGAAAACATGCGAGGCCATTTGAATATTTCCTTGAATATAGATGAGCAATATGCATAAACATCTAGGAAGACCAAATTCAATTGCTGAGGTGATGATTGTGTGGTAATGGAAAAGGGATTAAATGTTGCAGAAGATTACACACAGCTGAAGGAATGGACAAATTGTGATACAGCACAATGAACATTTGTTTAAGCAGCAAAGAGAAAGCTTGGATAAACAGCAGAATCACTCCTTTTAGATAGAGCAGACTAATAATTAATAAGTACTGTAAAATGTATGTTCCTGAGGGAAAACTCTAGCAGCCTCTAGTAGCATGCATAGTCAAATATGTAATTACAGCTATAATCAAACATGCACACACATGCATACATAGTTCAAAGATTTCTTTGACTATTCTGATATTGATGCCACATTTTTACTCTAGGAAGATATTCTCTACACTAGGTCTGATTTAACTCTCACTGTACTAGCAATGAAAAACATCATTTGACATCGAGTTTGTCCAAGTAGAAGTGGTATGGTAAATCTGTCTCTAATAACCACAGTCCTGATGAAGGTACTTCTATTACCTGTCTCCTACCAGCATATGCCTTCTCAGAGGAGAAACAAAAAATTTTATTCCAGACCTCAAGCAGTCTGCATGCTTGTGGATTTGCTAATTTCAAGGTCTCAGCCTTTGCTGAGATACATGTGACTTTTATCTGGTAGAAGTGTGATTCTGTTTTGGTTTTGGTTTGGTTTTTTTCCA